ACCTGATGGCTTTTTCTGGGGAAGGGGCTTTTGCTCTTGGTACAGACAGCTACCTGGACCTAGCTTCACCCCTACCCAGAGGGCCAGAGGCAGCGCCTACCACTCTCCCTAGCACACCCCAACCATACATCTTTGCTCTCCAACTCTGTTGCTCCTCCCAGACTGACCCCCCCCCCCGCACGGTGTCCACCCACCCACCAGCACCCGGGCTCCCACCTGCTGTGTGCCAGGTGGTCCCAGAGGTCAGCCGCTCTCTCTCCAGCAGCACTGCTTGGCTAACACCCAGCTTGGCCAAGTGGTACAGGGTCTGGCATCCCAAGCTGCCCCCGCCAATGACCACAACATCAGCCGTGCTGGGCAGAGGCTGGCTTGGTCCTCGAGGCACCGCCGAGGAACCTTGTGCCTCCTCCTTCAGGGTCCGCTGGTACGGGACATTCTTCTCGGTGGTGGACCGGGCCTCCCTGGCTAGGGGCTGTAGACCCAGGTTCCGGGCAGATCTCCCTTGAGAAGAGGTGGCAGCTACACGCAGGGCTCCTCGGCTCAGCAAAGCCATGGGGACTCAGGGCTTCTGTACCTTGGGGAGCCAACAAAAGAGTCAGGCTGGGTGGGGTGCGGTGCAGACACGGTAGGGGTTGGACTAAGTGCGTGTCCGTGTAACTGAGGCTCCCATATTACATCCATGGCCTTTCGGCTGCTTCCCTGTGATAAGTATTCACTCCCTCATCCACTCATTCATTCACTCACTCATCCACTCACTCATTCACCTACTCATTCACTCACCTATTCACTCACTCATCCACTCACTCATCTACTCACTCATTCACTCACTCATTCACCTACTCATTCACTCACTCATCCACTCACCTATTCACTCGCTCATTCATTCACTCGCTCATTCACTCACTCACTCATTCACCCATTCACTCACTCACCCACCCATTCACTCACTCATTCATTCACCCATTAACTCACCTATTCACTCACTCACCCACTCACTCACCCATTCACTTACCTATTCACTCACCCACTCACTCACTTACCCATTCACTCACCCACTTACTCACTCACCCATTCACTCACTCATTCATTCACCCATTCACTCACTCACTCACTCATTCAGCATTGATGTATCAAGGGGTGGATCACAGCAGGCTCTAGCGGGGCTCAGGGGAGACAGCTCTGGGTAGGGTGTGGATGCCAGAGAAGTGGGGTTGACACAGCTGGCAGATATCCCAAATATCTAAGGAAGAGGGTTTATCCAGAGAGGAAGGGCACATGAGGACTGTTGTGGAATATTCCTTTACACTGTGTAGGCTAGGCATAAGAAAGAGCCCTCAGAGGGGCACTGAGTGTCCTCACAGGAGCATTAGGGACCAGAAGGCATGATATAGAGGTGAGAACATCCAGGGCCTGGTGAAAGTTTATCACCAGCTTCCTGGTCATGTTGAGGTCCCTGTGCTGGTCTGAGCTAGAGAAAGGCCCTAGAACTGATGGATTAGGGTTGTGAGGAAACACCACAGCCCCAGAGGGGCCATGACTGCACTGATAGGAATGTGTGAGGTCACCTGCACACAGGGAGAACCAGGCAGAGGTGGGTAGCTCTGTGGAGGAGGCAGAGGGGTTAATAGCCCCAACCTGGTGCCAGCAGTACACCCAGATAAGGCCCTTCTTAGTACAACCCCCCAGGACAGTCCCTTCTCAAGCCCACATAGGCCATTGCTCCTTCAGTGGCTCCCAACAGAAGCTAATAGAGATTGGGGTGTCTAGACCTCCCCTCCCCCGCCGCCCCGGCATCTAGTTTTCAGATGGGACTCAGATCCTGGCTTAACAGGTCTCACTTCTCTCTGTTCCATCCACAGTCTTTCCAACTACCCTTAAGGGCTCATCAAAAGCCTTTCCTTCAGGAAGCCTCCCCCCACCTTGCTATCCACCAAAAGGTAATGATAAGAGTGTACCAAGAATAGTGGTACCCAGGGCACCTCCTGGGGAGTGGATCCCTGCCCAGCACAGCGAAGGAAGGGTGTCCCCAAGGTGTTTCTTGTACTTTTTCCTGGGATGAGCAGGAAAAGCAAAGGCTTTGGCTGTGACCCAGAGTGCTGGAGTGGGTGAAGCCAGCTTCCCTATATTAGTGACTGCTACCAAGCGGCCAGTTAACTGAGAAAGTCACTCCATCATCAGGTGTGGGTGACAGGCTCTGTGCATTCACTCACTCCCACAGAATGACCTGAGGCTCATGACTTGTCTCTTTTTCAGGGGGAAGAGACTGAGGCAATGAAAGACTTCCTAGGGTGTGTGGCTGCACTGAGCAAAGGGCGGTATGATCCAGAAGCCAAATGTTCCTGGTTCCCAACACGGAACCCACTATGGCACTGTACGCCATCTGTGAACACTCCTGATCCCTCACTGGACACAGCAGGAGACAGAGTGAGTCAGAGCCAAGCCGCTCACCTCAGCACCCCACTCCAAGGGTCGGGCCCAGCAGTCTATGCTGACAGGCCTCCAGGGTGGGGAGTGGTTGGATTTGCGGGCAGGAGCTGTCCTTGGCCTTACAGCCTCTCAGGTCATTCCCATCCCTATGGTGACAGCTGCCGGTCTCTGTGGCTTCCGTGGGTGAGACGGAAAGACATTCCCCTTGGCAGGAGTCTATACATACCTTAGTCTTTGAATGTCTTTAGTTTTCCAGAAGCTCCTGAGAGGGTCCTAGCAAGGGAAAGTCAGCATGATATGGACCCAGTCGAGGCTCTGCAAGGCCAGGCAGTACCTCCACCTTAGGACACCACACAAGGTACCACACACCTGCCAGAGGCACCTCCCTCCTCTCCAGAATGCCAATGCTGCTGGCCTGGGGAGCTGCCACGTGCCCCTTCCCTGGCAGCCCAGCCAGTCACGGCAGGGGTGGGGGGTGGGGCAGCCAGGCCCCCAGCCTGCTCCTCCTTCAGAACAGCTGTTTCATTAACCTGACCTCTAGCCCCTGCAGCTCTCTCCCTCGGCTTCCTAAGGATCAGGGCATAGGACACATGGAATGAGAGCCCAGTCATAGGCCTGAGGTCTCAGGCACAGGGCCCTCTTTGAAGGCTGCAACAGGGTAGAAGGGAGCCCGGGGGGCAAGGCACTCTGCAGAACCCTCCCATAAGGGGGCCCCCTCCTGCAACCCCACGTCACCCACGGTCTTCCCACCTATTCCATGGTCCCTTCAGTCAGAGGCAAGGAGAGGTCCCAGCTAGCCAGCAGCCAGTTCCAACCCTGCCCATGAAGGGGCTGCCAGGACACTGCCCCTCCCTTCTTTCCCAAGCTGCATCTGGGTCTAGCTGATCAGGGCCACCCACTCCCTTGCTGCTGGCCCAATGTCTGCGCCTACAACTGGGGCAGGAATGCACCGCCCACTACCCCAGCTTCCTGGCCAGCCCCGCTGGAGCAGCTGCCAAGTGGGCAGTTCTCCTGGCTGGCCAGCCCAGCAGGGCTGTGAAACCCGAGCCTAGCTCTCGGTGACCTCCCCCTCTCACGGTTCCTTCCTCGTCACTAGCTCAGGCGTCTCCATATTGCTGTGGTGACCCCTGGCATTCTGTCTTCCCATGCTTGCCCACCCTGGTTCCCCATCCCCTGAATGAGCTGGCTGCATGGGCAGATCATCCTTCCTTGAACTGAGGCCCCTGGTGAGGTCATCTTGGCACAAGTATGTGTCTCCAGCCCCAGCTTGCTCACTCCTGGGACCAGACAGAAAGTTCACTGTCCAAGGAAGCCAGCAAGGAGTCTGTGCTCACATCGCAGGGGCTGCCCCCCACATCCTGTTCTCTAGATCCCTCCCCGCTTCAGATTCCTACCACCCTCTGGCTTCTGGGAATACCTGAGTCCACGAGCCATGGAAGAGGTCAAGCAGCTGCCCTCAGTCTGCCTGTACCCAGGACATTGTGCCCATTCCAGGCAGAAGTAGACGCCTCTAGTGAATCCAGGAAGAAGCAGTTATGTTTTGAAACCTCTGGATGTCCAAAGAATCAAAAGAGGTTCTGGGACCAGATGGCCCCCACTTCTGCCCCAACTGGGGTAGAAGGACGGAGATTTTGCCCGCAGCCCTACTCAGCACATTGTAGCGCCCAGTCAGGAAGGGGCAGGGGTACTGGGTGCTGGAATTCACAACTGGGGATGCTTGCACTCTTACTCACATGGAGCTGTCCAGCTATCTGCCTTGCTGCCAGCTTGTCTCTCAAGTACACTTACTGAGCACCTACTGTATACAAGGTAGCTGCTGGGGACCCAGAAACACCTAAGACCCAGGCCTGGCTTAGAGGGGCTTGGGAAACAGGAAAAATGGAGGGGAGAGGCCCCACATGGCTGACCGAAGAAGAGCTGCTTTGCCGCCGGCCTGAGTGGGACCTTTCAGAGAAGGTGGCGGGGACTCTGACTGGCCCGAGTGAGACCTTTCAGAGGAGGTGGCAGGGACTCTGACTGGCCTCTGTTGCCACAGGTCTCAGTCTATGCCTTGAGGGCGGGCTGGTTCCTGGTCCCACCAGCTTGAGGCTTCCCTGGAACAGTGTGGGATCGTGAGACAGGGAGGGGAGCTACCTGGTCCCTCCAGATGCCGCCTGTCCCAACAAACTGAGGTCAAGCTGTGCTCACTAGACAGGGTGACAGGCTGAGTGGAGAGAAGGAAGGAGGAACGCGGCCCAAGTCTTTTTCTGAGTCCCAGTCTCAGGGGTGGTGAGGGAGGGACACCTGCTTAATACAGCCCTGAGGGCGGTGGCTGGGCCAGGCTCACACTCTGAGGCTGACCCTGGCAGTTTCAGAGCTGTCCTGAGGCCAGAGGACAGCACGGTCTCCAGGACTTTGGATAGGGGTGGTGGCCGGAGGCTGGGCCCGGTGGCTGGTCAGCACTGTAGGAGTTGTTGTTGACCCTAGCACGTCACTGCTCAGGTCAAGGAGAGGTGGGAGGCTGTGTCCCCGAGGGCACAGCTCACATCCAGGGACTCGAGGGCAGGGTCCTGGTGATGCTAGCATAAATGTAGGCTCCCTTCTCCCACCACGCAGGCAGGAGTGGTCCACCCCACCCCACAGCTCATCCCACCGTACCCCATCCCACACCACGCTGTCAGTTTCACAGCGGTCCTGGAAATTTCTCTGAGTAGTTTGTCTCTCCTGGTGTGTGTGAGGGGCGTGGTAAAACCAAATGGCAGCCCTGTGGGTAGAAAAGGGAAAGGTCTGTTCCAAACCGCCAAAGCTGTCTCGGGGAAAGTAGAGAGAAGCAAGAGGGGAAGATCTCCAAGGTAATAAGAATGGGCATCTGGGAGAAGGGAGCCTATCAGCTCGAGGGGGGCCTTGAGGTGTACAACAAGGATTTGTGAGTAGGGCCGGAAGGAGCCTGGAGGCTAGAATGGACTTTGATAAGCTGATAGGCACCACAGGCCCATGTTAATGGGAGAATTGTATGTCCCTTTAGCCAGAGATAAGGGAAATGACTCCTTTCGGTAAGTGGGAAGCAGTTTCACAGGTTCCTGAGGATCCTGAGGAACGCTGGCTTTTATCCAGCAGAAATCCTCCTGTACGCCAGGCTGAGCTCATTTCTGGCCATTCGGACTCCATTTTGAGGTTTGGGGAGCTGGAGTTTCCTTTGGACCGGACACTAGCACACTATGAAGAAGACCACGGTACAAGCAGAGGTCACCGTTGATCCCATTCTCTGGGGTGGGAGATTATCTCCAGGCCATGACCCTTCCCAGCTGCACAAAATCAAACAAGAGTTGTGGCAGACTGACCTCCCCTGCCCTCAAGACCCCAAGACCATTCCTTCTAACTCAGCTGGGTTCCCACTGCTGGCCAGCCTTCCAGGGCAGAAGGGTTGCAGGTCACCCCTACCTCGGTAGACGTCCCCCCTACCTCGGTAGACGTCCCCCAGCAGGAAGGTGCTGGAGGGAGGATCTCCTGCCAAGCTCCACATGTGGTCCTGGGAGAGTCCAGAACAGTGAGAGAAAGAAGTAGATTGAGCGTGGCCAGCAGACTGGACCAGGCCATGAGAGAAACAGAAATACACAGAGAGGAAGGGAGGAGGGAGGGAGGGAGACACAGCAGAGCTATACGGGGAATGAGTAGCTGGGGGGAGGAAGCCCATGAGCTGGAGGGAAGTTAGGGTGGGGAGAAGGTAAGGGGACCCAGGATGCTAGCATGGCCTTTGAAATGTGTAACTGGTACCTGTGATACTGAGGGAGTCTGGCAGCCAGCAGGAGCTTTGAGATACTAATGGGCACCAAAATGGCCCTTCTGGCTTTTGGAATTTGGGGAAATGGGGTCTCCTTTGGACCAGACAAGGACCAGGTGCACAGGAGCATGGATGCTCAGCTGCAGTCACTCTGGGCAGTGCTAGTGTGGAGGACCGACAGGGGCCAGTCAGCATGCATCTGTATGTTCAACCTCTCAGCGGTGATAGGAATAGCCTGTCGTTGTGGAGATGAGAAAATTGAGGCAGAACACTGTTATTTATTAAGCAGCACAATGTTATTCACTAAGCAGCACTGTTCACCGTGTGAGAAAAGCCACGAGGTACAATAAAACCCACTAAAAGTTGATTAAGGGAAGGAAACAGAAAAGGGTACTTAAGCCTAGGGAAAGATCGTGTAGGAAGAGAGGGGCAGAGGGATGAGTGAGACCCGCTTTTGTAGACTCCCCCACACATGCGCATATGGGCTTTTGTAGCTATGCCATGCATGTGCATAGATTACGTGATCACACTGTGCACAGATTACGTAGGACGTAAGGCCCTAGGATGACTAAACATCTTGCCAGCGCATGCACGGTCATGGGGAAGTGGCTAGGAATTCTAACAAACACAGCTCTGGGGTGCCAGATGGCCACAGGCCACTGATAAGTTTCTAGAACATTGTTAGAGGCATTGTTCGTGTCCCCAGCATTTAAATTTTCCAAGAAAAACGTAGAGCAAAGGGGCTGGGGGATGGCACAGTCAGCAAAGTGCCGCTGCACAAGCCCGAGTCTGAACCCCAAAATCCATGTTTAAAAAGAAAAGGCCAGGCGCAATGACACATGCTTGTAATTCCAGCACAAGCCCCAGAGTGTGATCCCCAATATCCATGTCAAACAAAATAAAACACCAAGAAACCAGGCTCAGTGGCGCATGCTTGTAATCCCTGCACCGAGGAGGTGGCGATGACAGGAGGTTGCTAGCCAGTCTGCCTCACCTATTTGCTGAGTTCCAGGCCAATGAGACCCTGTCTCAGAAAACAAGGATGCAGGGTAAATCCGGTGTTAGTGAAAGGACCAAGCAGATGCCATAACAGGCTGCTCAGTCTTCTCTCAGAGATCAGGCCTCAATTTCAGTTTCCTGAGACTTGAGCAAGCAGTTTCTGGGAGGGTCATGAACAAAAGACATAGTCCTTGCAGTAGCTCCCTTTCTGCATGTACTCTGACTGCTCAAGGTTCAGCCAGTTGTTTACTGTCTGGGACCCCGCACCAACCTAGAGCTACGTGCATGGGTCAATATGAAAGTGCTAGGCCAACCAGCCTCCATAGCATCTCAAGGACAAAGCCTGGGACTTGTCCAGGCCTGCCCCAAAATGATAACTGTAACCCCCAACCAGTAAATCCAAAGGTTACACACCCTCACCCAATCATATGATGCCAAGGCTTGTACCACCCTGCTTGCCGTTTTTCCCTTTAAAAACCCCTCACCCTGAGAGCTCAGGGCCGTCCTCCTCCACCCTCTGTGTTGAGTGCTGGACACAGACTAAGCCTGGGCTTGCTTGTTATCAATAAACCCCTGTGTGCTTTGCATCGGATATTGACTCCGTGGTGGTTTTGCTCAGGGGTCTTGCAACTTAGGCTCAACATTGGTAAACCGAGAACCACCCACATTCCAGAACCAGGTGGTCCCTCCGCCCACCTTCAGTGACCCCGCGCCAGCAGTCACGTCATCATCAGCTGCCAAGTGAGACACGTTTCCACTAATTGCCACAAGTTGCAGACTCAGAGCCCACATAGAAAAACAGTTGTAAAACTTCTCAGTCCTGATGAGCTCTCTGCTTACCATTGCATCCTTTTAGACTAAGGAAGCAACAAGTCTCCAAAATATTTTGGATTGGTATGGATTTTTTGTATGATGATAAAAAATTTAAGGTTATATGTGATTCAACTCTGGTTTAGAATATACTGTATATGATGATAAAATTTTAAGGTTAGAAAGATATACTCAGATTAACAAAAGCTGATTTAAGATGTATGTCTAACTACTTAGGCCTTTGCTAACTGTTCAACACCAAGCTTCCAGAAAATTTAGATAAGTAACAACATATGTTTGATAAATAAGATATATTTGATAAATAAAATTCATAAATTCCTAAGATCTTCTCAGGATCAAAAAATATTTGTCTGGCTTCTTTGTCTTGGTAACTTTGTTAAGCTTGGGCAATTTGGATAAACTGAGCCAATCAAAAAAATTATGACAATCTATAATAGGACACTATAAAAGATCAGTAAAGTTTCCAGTCTCTCCATGGACTAACGTTTACTAAATTTATGGTTTATTTTGATACTAAAGGATCTTCAACTCAAAATTTTAAGACTCAAACTCAAACATAAGACTCAAAAAATATAAAATCCTAAACTTATAAAAGCTAATAACTTACTGTAAACTGTTAAAAATAATTAAGACATGCAAGTTAATGATCAGCCACCTTATAAGTGATCAAATTCTTTAATGTGTTCAGAACTATACTTGTAGTCATGCTATGTATTAATGTAATTTACAGGAATAAGCACTATTTAGCCTCCTGTATATATATATCTCCAAAGTTAAACCTAAAACAAGTAACTAGAAACAAGCAAAGTTTGTTTAATTTAGATACACTTAATAGATAATGGTCCTCAAAACTTTTCAGAGGTCTGCTGAATATGGCATTTAAAATGTTTAGTGGAAAAAGCTGACTATAACAGAGACCCCCCAGCCTCTAGCAGTGACCCCAAGGCCTCCAAAGAAGATGATGGGCACAGAACTCTACCTGGAGCTTTCTTTAAATATAAGATGTAAAAATGAAAAACGTTTCAGATTTCCTTCTCTCTCTATGCTATTGTTACATTAAGCAAAAGTTCAGAATTCCAACATCAATCAACAGAGTTCTGATAAGCTATTAATCTGGCTCTGGTGAGCACTGACTGCTTTTATCATAGTCACAAGCTCAAATTTTTAAATTTCCTCTGGTTGTCTTCTAAGTATAGACTTAAAGTGCTTCTCATTATGCTAAAAATATATGTCTAATTTATATACACCCAGTTTTCTGGATAGAGCAAAGTGTTCATGATTTTAAACCAAATCATTTTGGGTCCTCAAGTTTCTACTATAACTCAAAGGCCTGAGTCTACTGCCTTTTCCACAATGTGGATTTCTGTAATGATTATAAACAATGGTAATGCTAATGTATCTAAAATTTACCTCTTTTTATAAACTTAAAAACTTCTTGTGAGCTTCAGGGAATTGACTTGAATCCACCTCTCACTGGTCAAATGGACTCCAGATAAGTACTGTCAGTCCAACAGCCTGTTTCCCCACCTGCCTATTCCACCTATTCCTGAGGCTGGAATCTTACCCCCTTTCCCTGGTCTTGGGACTCCCCTCCACCAGCTACCAGGATCATGGGCCTAAAAGTTTCAAATGTACACCTAAGAAAAAAATTCCCCTTATATTTTTTAACTTTACCTTCTGCCCAAATATATATCTGTTCCAGAATCCTGCCAGCTCCAGGTGTTTCCTCAAAATCTGTATCCCAGAACCTTCAGAGCGGCGGCCCTAGGTGTCCCAGCCTCATAAAGTACTTCAGTTGCTGCCTGCAAGTCTCTAGCCCCAGAAGGTCTCACAGAGCCTTGTCAGCGAGTGAAGCAGCCTGCTCTTCCTAGACTTGGCCCAGCATCCCAGCTTTCTTGGCTCCCCAAAGATGTTGATGCCCCCAGACAACAGGAAGCAGTCTAAAGAAAATGGCGCCCCCGTTCCTGCCTCACCAGTCACCCCTTCCTATTCCCTCACTTAGATGGCTCTGAGGTGAAGAGCACTGACTGTTCTTCCAAACGTCCTGAGTTCAATTCCCAGCAACCACATGGTGGCTCACAGCCACCTGTAAGGAGATCTGGCGCCCTCTTATGGCATGCAGGCATATATGCTGTATACATAATAAATAAATCTTTAAAAAAAAAAAAAAAAAAAGAGGGAGGAATGTTGGTAAACTGAGAACCACCCACATTACAGAAGCAAGTGCTCTCCAATCCTGCCTTCAGTGACCCACATCATGCAGGTCAGGAGGCTCACGCGGCAGCGGTTCTTGTAACCACTGCCAGAAATGCGCGTGTTCAGGGGCCGATAGAGCACCGTGTCAGGAAGAAAGATGCCCGCTCTAGGTGCCTTTCAAGTTCTGTGGCTGTAGCAGCCAGATTGGATCACAGCCTTCCGCCCGATCCCTCAGCAAAGCATGCCTGCTCTGCAGTCTGAGCACATTGGCAACATTCCTCCCCCGGCCCCCGGCCCGCTCTGAGTAGGCTCCAGTGGCCGCAGCAAGACTGCTGTGGTCGTCGCTGGGACATTCCGCTTGCCCACCAGTGACCACACTGCAGCCTGTTGGCACTCCCCTTTTTTTTTTTTTTTTTTTTTGGTTTTTCAAGACAGGGTTTCTCTGTGTAGCTTTGCGCCTTTCCTGGAGCTCACTTGGTAGCCCAGGCTGGCCTCGAACTCACAGAGATCCGCCTGCCTCCGCCTCCCGAGTGCTGGGATTAAAGGCGTGCGCCACCAACGCCCGGCAGCACTCCCCTTTTTTTAAATCTGCCCCATGCAGGTCAAACAACTTCACAGCTCCAGCCAGAGCAAGGTACAGTGAGTGCTTCAGGACCTGCCTTGGCGCTACACCTATGACACCTACTGGCAAAACATCAATACTACATCCAAAAATCATCAAATGAACCAGTCATTCGCCCAACCTAGTTAATTACACCTGGAACATCTGGACACTCAGGACAGTATTTCGAGGATCTTATCTGAGGTAAATTACTTGATAATTTCACACCTTAAACTGTTTAATAAATAAAAATTTACTTTACAAATTTTAAGTATTTCTTATATTATGGTGGATAATGTAACCATTCAGGAATTTAAAAACTCCTTTGTTTATACTATGGATGAAATTTTACAAGACATATATGGCCTTCCTGGGATGTATACAGTTTTCATCATAATGGTATTAGCAAAGTAATTCATATCATATCATTAAAAAACTGCACCAAATATGAGACATTAATGGGACTGATACAGACTTTGAAAAGTGGTAATGAGTACTTAAACAAAAGGATTCATTCTTTGGAATCTGCTAATTTACCACATGAACTTCAGTCTGCTAATAATAAATGGACATCCAGATTTAATTCTATTGAAAATAAATGTGAAAAACTAATGGGTAACTGAGTAAGTCTGCAAAGCAATCTTAATGTCATACAGATAATTTCTAAGTAGGAATAATCACCATTAATTGATAGAATGAAATCTTTGGAATCATATGTTTATGATGAACATAAAAATTTTTTGATTCCATGAAGTCACTGGAATCATTTACAGTACAGGAAGCAAAGAATTTAGAAAAAGCTGTGGTTAATCAATTTCAAGCTTTGGATGAGTCTGTTAGAGTTGATAATAAGGGTGCTAACAAGGAGAAGGGAAAGGCTAGAGAGGTAATAACATCACCAGTGCCTTACAGAGTTAGAGATGACCTATCAAAACTCACTTCCCATTATGACATATGTATGCATATGACCCTGTAACCATTTGTGAAAAGCCAGCAACTGATAAATATCCTGAAGGATATGTTGAATATATATGTAAGCATATACATATGAGAGATTTAAAGAACATCGAGGAAGCTGTAGTTACCTATGGTATACATTCAACATATGTGAAACAGATATTAAATACATGGTCTTCTAGAAATAGGATCACATCAAATGACTGGAATCAGTATCAGCTGTATTATAATATAGCCAGCAATTACAATGGAAAAGCTGGTTGAGAGAAGCTAAGGCCCTTGAGCAGCAAGGTAAGATTAGAGGTTTTCAGATTTCCCAAGATAAAATTCTTGGTGAGGGCTGCTTCGCTGATATAGATGCACAATCTACCTTTAATGAGCATACATTATCCATATGCCATGTGGCAGCCTTAAATGCTTGGGAAAAGATTCAAGAACCAGAGAAACCAACTGAGCTATATATGAAGGTCTTCCAGGGGTCAAAAGAACCATTTACTGATTTTTTTAATAAAGACTGACCAAGGTTATAAACAAGACAATATCAGACCAAGAATTAAGATGAGTATTAATTTAATCTTTGGCTTTTGAAAATACTAATATAGAATGCAAAAGGATACTTGAACCTTTAAATATCAGATCAGCACCCATAGAAGAATGGATTCAACACACAATCAATGTTGAGTCTCTTAACTACGGTGATGAGGCTTGGATAGAAGAGGAGATTTCCAGAGGTATAAAGAAGCATCAAAGTGCCAAATGTTTTAACTGTGGTAAACCAGGACATATAAGAAGAAATTTTACACAGGGCTCTCCTAGAAGCAATGCTTCTTCTAGGAATGACTCAAACAGGAGACCTCAACCTTCTGGATTATGCAGAAGATGCGGCAAAAGCTGACATTGAACCAATGAATATAGATCAACAAGAGACATACAAGGCAACCCTTTACCAAGGGGTCAGGGGAGCAAAGAGAACCAAGACAGCATATGGCCAAAATGGCTGAGTTATATAGAAATCAGAAGCTGGGGGAAAAGATGCAAAGCTCAGCTGGGATGGGGAGGGCTGGAGAGGTTTAGGGTAGGGAGCAGGAGTGGAGGGTGAGTGCTGAGAGGAGCAAGGACCCTGAAACAGGTACTTGAGATGCTCTTGTCCCAGGTTTCCTTGAGATCTAACAGTGGCCACCCTGCCCCCTCCCATGTGCTTGCTGGACACACTTAGATGGGGTATATTTAGTCCATTTGACAGGAGTCCTTGTACTGGCTAGTTTTTATGTCAACTTGACACAAGCTAGAGTCATCAGAGAAGAGAGAGCCTCAACTGAGAAAATGCCTCTATAAGATAAGGCTGTAGGCAAGCCTGTAGGACTTTTCTTTTCTGTCTCTGTCTCTCTCTCTCCCTGTGTGTGTGTGTGTGTGTGTGTGTGTGTGTGTGTGTGTGTGTGTGTGTGTGTGTGTTTCCTGTCAGGGTTTCTCTGTGTAACAGTCCTGGCAGTCCTAGAACTCTCTTCGTAGATCAAGCTGGCCTTGAACTTACAGGGATCCAGCTGCCTCTGAATCCCAAGTGTTGGGATTAAAGGTGTGTACCACCATGCCCTGCAGGACATTTCTTAATTAGTGATTAATGGAGTAGAGCCCAGTCCATTGTGGGTGGTGCCATATCCCTGGCCTGGTTGGTGGTCTTGGGTTCTATAAGAAAGCAGACTGAGCAAGCCATGAGATGTAAGTTAGTAAGCAGCACCCACGCCCCAGGGCTTCTGCATGAGCTCCTGCTTCTGTATCAGCTCCTGTTTCCAGGGTTCTGCCCTGTTGGAGTTCCTTTGATGATTAACTATGATGTGGAAACAAGCTGAATAAACTCTTACCTCTCCAAGTTTCTTGGTCATGCTGTTATATCACAGCAATAGTAACCCTGACTTAAGACAGTCATCCATCATTTCATCCTCTTACATGTTCCACTAGCCTGGGGAGCCTTGCTTCTCAACTGTTTTCCAGGATTCTGGGGCTGATTTCTCAACAAGCACCCAGGGCATAGATACCTCTGAAGAACATCCCTTGGGGGCCCAGGCATCCAGGAAACTGTACCTCACAGGGAGGGAAGATCACTAGCATTGTAAAGCTCATTCTCGGCTAGGTTCGATGTCCAGGGTTCCTAGGAAAGGCCAGAAGTACCAACAGTTGGTGGCCCTAGCACTCAGTCCTTCCTGAAGAGGACTCTTGGCAGGAAATACTGCACCCTGGTGGTTGTTTGTGAGTTCTACAACCTGAGAGAGCTGAATCCTGGCCCAAGAATGGGGCCATGGGTAGGCAGGACTGATGTTCCACTGTTCTGTCAGCCTGGGCTCTCATACAGCCCTGCAGACACTACCTACCAGCCACCATCTCAAGGAAGTCCTGTTCACCAAGCAATAAGAGAAAGGGCCAATGGACGGGAGAGGAAGAAGCAGGGAGCCTGTTGTGAGGAGCAGGGAGCCCACCTCCTTGCTCGTTTCCCTCAGCTCTACCATCCCCTAGACCACTCACTGGAGACTTGTCCAGCATGCCATAACTCCATCTGTTACCCTGCACACATTCCAGGCTATGCTGTGGCACGTAGTACAGTCCTGGGTTATTACCACTATTGTTCTCAGCCTTTGTTCACATTTAGTCATGAACTTCTGAATCCAGTGGGAGATGAGGGCTGCTACCTGCTTCAGGCTCTGACCTGATGCTATTTCCACGGTGTGAATCCTCCCACTACAGCCAATCTCAGGCTACAGTGGGAAGGGCACGCTATCACTGACTGTGGATGCTGAGGACACAGCTCTGTGGGCTGGCCTGAGCAAGTCCTTCTGTGCCTGTAGAATGCTCTGTCTTGGGGCACAGCCACGGTGGCTGCCTGTTGACACCTGCCTGGTGAGTCTCCTCCCACACATCTGCTTTCGGTGCCTCTGCGGCACCCAGTCCCGTGCCCATATTTAGGTGTGGTACTCAGCCAAGGTCTTCCATAGATAGTGGTTAAAAACTCCTCACACAGGTTGACTAAGCAGAACTGGAGGCCTGTCATCCCTCTGAACTGCCTGCCTTTGTCATCTGTCTCACCCCTGGGATGGCACTGATTTTTGGCTTTTCTAGTGAATAAACTCATCAAAGAAAAGTGGATATGTGCACTCGGGCATGCTGGGATAAGAGCCCAGGGCTTAGAAATGAGGCCATCAGGCTTATCTCTTCCATAAAACCTCGGACTCAAAAGGCACTGACTGAGTC